ATCTGGGATTCCTTTCACAATCTAGGACTGCTGGCTCCCAACTGTTTGCCTGCCTGCCTTCCTGATTGCCCCTAACCACTTCTTCCTGCCAATCTGATCACCCCCTAAGCATGCCCATGCCAGCCTGAGTGAAGTCTAACTGCTCCCCTGCCAGCCTGTTTGCCCTCAACTTCCCTCCTCTGCTGGCCTGATCACCCCTAACTACCCTCCCCTGGAGGGTTGATCGCTCCCAACTGCCCTCCCCTGCAGCTCTGGTCCCTCTTAATTGCCTTCCCTTGCAGGCCTGGTCCCTCTTAACTACCCTCCCCTGATGGCCATCTTGTGGTGGCTATCTTGTGACCACACGAGGGTAGCCATCTTGTGTGTTGGAGTGATAGTCAATCTGCATATTACTTTTTTATTAGATAGGATAGAGGCCTGGTGCATGGGTGGGGGCCGGCTGGTTTGCCCTGAAGGCTGTTCCAGATCAGGGTGGGGGTTCCCTTGGGGCGTGGGGTGGCCTGGGTGAGGGGTGTGTGGTGGTTTACAGGCCAGCCACGGCCCCCGAGGACCCAAGCGGAGGCCCTGGAATCTGGAATTTATTTATCTTCTACAATTGAAACTTTGTAGCCTGGAGCAGAGCCAAGCCTCCTGCTCGCTCCATGGTGGTAGCCATTTCTGTTGGAATTTATGTATCTTCTATAATTGAAACTTTGTAGCCTGGAGTGAAGGCCTGGGCCAACCAGGGCTGCAGTAACTTAGCTTCCTCCATCACTTGGGGCAACCCTAGCCTCCTGCTCTTCCAGCTCAGTGGCTGTGGCCATTTCTGTAGGAATTTATTTACCTTCTATAATTTAAACTTTGTACCCTTGATTGGAGGCCTGGGCTCGGCAGGATGTGTGGAAAACTTGGCTTCCTCCATTGCCAGGGAAACCCAAGCCTCCCTCCTGCTCTCTGTGGCTGTAGCCATCTTGGAGGGGGTTAATTTGCATACTCTCTCTGATTGGCTGGTGGGCGTGGCTGGTGGGTGTGGCTTGTAGGTGGTTAATTTGCAGTTACCTTTTATTAGATAGGATAATTTATATATATACAAATATATCAATATTGACTATTAAGTGAATAAATATATTAATATATAAATACTGTCAATGTTTATTAATGTTAATAATATTATTTATTATATACTATTATAAAAAACATACATACCATGGCTTCAGATCCACCTGCACAGTCAAGTGCAAAATCCACACCCCCACCGGTCATTTCAATGATGACCTCCTGGACGGGTTTTTGTAGCTCTCTAGGATTGAGGCAGTCAGTGGCTCCAAGGGCTTTGGCCTTTGCAAACTTCTCACTGTTGATATCAACAGCTATGATTCTGGCAGCTCCTGCTACTTTACAACACATTAAAGCAGAAAGGCCAACACCTCCCAGGCCAAAGATGGCACAAGTAGAACCTGGGGTAACCTGCAGGCAGGAAAATCATAAGTTAACTTAAAGCAGCTGGTTCCTCCTTCTTTAAAGATACAGAGGGAGGTGGGGGCAGGAACATATGAAGGACTTCCTGTCATAAGACTAAGGGATTTAGCCACTTGGGGAAATTTACCAATGTAAAAATGAATGAATCACTTTCTGAACTTTGAGAATCATTTGAGGGTCATTAGGGTCATCAGTTTATAAGGAACAAACCCAAGTGGAAATAATTTCCTTGTTTTCATTTCCCCTTTAGTGGTATCAGAACAAAACCTGAAAGCTCACAGACTGTAAAGGGCTTATTGTTTGCCCTTTTAAATAGATCGCAAGTAATGTGATGTTTATATTTCTAATAGGCCTTATTTGGTTGTGTTGATGTTACAGTTTTGATGACCACTAATATTTCTCTAAATGTGAGTTAACTCAGTCATCCGAATTATTAAATTATTTAAATGGAATGAGATCCAAATTCCTTGCATGGCATTGAAAGATTTTTATTATCTGACCCCTGTTGCCTTCTGATTTCATCTCCATGATATTTTCAGTACTATGGCCACAACAAACTGTCTCACTTTCTTTTTTTCATGTCTTAGTTCATGCTGTTCCTTCAGCCTGCTGTACTTTTCACCTTATTTCATTTTAAGGTATAAAGTTTAACCTATATTTAGTATGATCTATATATTTTTTTAAATTATATTTTTTATTGATTTTGTACAGAGAGGGAGAAAGATAGAGAGTTAGAAACATCAATGAGAGAGAGTCATCGATCAACTGCCTCTTGCACACCCCCTACTGGGGATATGCTCGCAACCAAGGTACATGCCTTTGACCGGAATCGAACCCGGGACCCTTCAGTCCCCAAGCCGACGCTCTATCCATTGAGCCAACCGGTTTCGGCGATCTATATTTTTGGTCTGACTTAACACTCTCCCCATTATATATTAATTTCAGAGGGGAAGGGAGATGGAGAGACAGATAGAAACATCAATGATGAGAAGAATCATTGATTGACTGCCTTCTGCACACCCCCCACTGGGAATTGAGCCCGCATCCCCGGGCATGTGCTCTTGATCAGAATTAAACCTGGGACCCTTCGGTCCACAGTCTGATGCTCTATCCACTGAGCCAAACCAGGTAGGGCCACAAAATATTTTTTGATTCTTTAATCAGAAGGTAGTGACAATTGGAATATGTTCCTCTATAAAGTGAGATAGTGGCAAAAAGTCCCCCAAAGATCCTGCACCAAGAGATGCTTACTATGTCTATTTTCTCATGATGATGGGAAACTGTTAGCATAAACAAAAGAGAAAGAAGAAAATCTGCCTATGAGATGCACTGGAAACAAAATTACTAAGAGAAGTGGCATCTCTCACTTTATGAATGATATTGGATATTAGTATAATAGCTTTTGCTATTCAGGGGAAATAAAAATATATTTGTAGTATTCAGAATATTGTTTTATTTAGAGTCTGTACTATTTATTATAATATTGTAGCATATGTTTAGTTTATTTCCAAGTATATACCTCCAGAGACTGTGTTAAAAAGCTCGCCTGTAAGTCTCATGGAAAGTAGAAAAGCATTCTCCCCATTGCACAATGTTGTACTCAGTAGTTGGATTCTCAGGCCAGCTCACAGCAGTGTATAAATTGAATACACTGCGCTGATTGTGTTATATAAGCAGACCCCTGAGAGTAAAAGTGCTTTTGATTGCAGAACTGGGGCAGTCACTATAAAATGCCCTCTCCCCATTTGATTTTCTCTCTGCAGGCAACACTGTTACAGGGTATTTTCATATTTCCAAAGATATCCATGAAATGTAATTAATCTTGCTATAAATGATATTAGCACATTAAAACAAATCAGCGTTCTGACTATGCTGTTGAAGATCCCCAATAATTATACCGAGCAGTTGCATCACTTTTCTTCCTAGAATTAAATTAAACTTTAGTAAGGGTCTCACCTCTTATCTAGAAATACTGATATTTCACGTCCCTTTGTCCTGTGAGTTATGTTCCTTCTTTGAGCACCTCCTGAGGAGGTTTAGTAGTTCCTCAACAGCGGGAAGAACATGTCCTGGGAATTTAGATAAACTTTGACTACACTTAAAAGTAAACTGTAGCTGAATATCTAGTGTTAATATTCCTGAAGAGAGATTACAGTAGTAGAAGGTGAGAGTCTGCATGGAGTCCAGAAAAGGAGATGTGTGTAGCTCAAAGAGCAATAATTTCTCCCTGAGAATCCAATGCCATCTATAGGAGAATATGCCTTGACTGCCAAAGTCACCTGGGCTGTTAACTCCACCCAACTATCACCTTTCTCCTCTAGGAGCCTGCATATTATAGTTTGGCTTCTCATAAAACTTTTAATTTTTATTAATGAGTGAGTGAATGAATGAATAAGTGACGTTTCAGAGGGAGGCCAAGAGTACCATCCTTGTGTGCATCAGGGAGAAAGTAGGCGTGGCCATGTGGAAGGTGGGTGGGGTCTCTGCAGTTTCTATTGTCTCTTGACTGGGTCTGCTGTCCCAGGATGAGGATTCATATTTAGGGGACATATTTAAGTAGGCTGTATTTAAATTAGGGATGACCTACAATATAACATACTAGTATAGGGAAAGAAATTGACATGAATTGGGTGCGAACTATAGCCACCCACTGGGCCAGATGTCTTACCTATGCAATACGATTTAGTTTTCCCACAGTAATTAGTAATATACAAAATATTGTTATGCAGAAGTAGAAGTAAAGAGGTTAAATAGCTTGCCTAAAACCACAGGGATGATAAACACAGAGCCAGGGTTTGAAGGTAATTCTAGCTGCTTTATCACACTGTCTCCTAATAATTTCTGTTTTATAGAACCTGGTGATTAACCATTTTACCTTGGCAGTGTTGATGGCAGCTCCATAGCCAGTTGAAAATCCACATCCAAGCAGACAGACTCTCTCTAAATTTGCATCATCATCTATTTTGGCCAGATTAGTATCTGATACGACAGTGTACTGAGAGAAAGTACTGGTCCCCATGAAATGGTAAATTGGTTTTCCTTTACAGGTAAACCTGCTGGTTTTGTCTTCCATTAGTTCTTGCTGAACAACAGGACTTTTGGATTGACTAGAGATTTTAAAAAAGATACAAAAAAGAGAAAGTTAATGTATCTCTGAATACTCCCTTGAAATAAAAGTTAGGTATTATCTATTACTTATGACACACTTTTATGATATAAAGAAATTGAGAAATGACTTGGGACTTTTTGCTTAAATATAAAATAAATTTTGTATTTATATCTTTATAAGTAACACATAATTTTTATATATTATATATAATATACTATAATATATAGTAAATATATAATATAAGTAATATATAAAGTATTATATAAATAATATCTGTAATCTAGTGTATAATAAAATAGACATAATAGGAGTCATCTAATTATAATAATGATATAACAATAAACTCTTTATTGAATATTTTTTCTTGTGCCAGAAACTCTTTTAAGGGCTGTACATATATTGATTCTTTTTTTATTTATTTAAATAAAAATTTAAAAATATGGAATGCTTTATGAATTTGTGTGTCATTCTTGTGCAGGGCTATGCTAATTTTCTCTGTATTGTTCCAACTTTAGTATATTTGCTGCTGAAGTGAACACTATGTATGGATTCTTTAAAAATTATAATGAAAAAAATTATTATGAAAAATTCAAACAAATATAAAAGTAGAAAAAATAGCAGAATGATCCTCCATGTAAGCATCTCTTAGCTTCAGCAATTAGCAAGTCATGGTTGATCTAGTGTCATTTATTACCCACCTCCTCCCTCAACACCACACACCTACCCTCTCTCCATGGTGGACTACCTTGAAGAAATCCCAAACATCACTATTTCATTGTAAATATTTCAGCATGTATCTTTAAAAGATAAAGATTGTTATAACTCCATGCATGGCATCTAGATGATATGTTTCTTGTATCCCTTTTAATGGACAGATTCTCATTCCCTCCCCCCCCCCCCTTTTTTTCTTGTAGTTTAATCTTTCTCATTCTGGATTTTTCTGATTACATTGCTGTGATCTGATTTAACATATTTTTCCATCCCAAAATTTCCTCTTGTTTCTTTTATCTAAATGCTTGTTCTGATTTGGGTTTTAAATTTTTGTAGGAGTACTTCAAAGGTGGTGTGTGTTTTCATTTGGAGCACATACCTTATCTGTCTTTTTGTGATGTCAGAAAGAATTGGTGGTCATTGTCTGAATTTGTTATTTCATTAAAGGTTTACAAAAGGATCTATTCTTTGAATAACTGCAACAACCATGTGAAACAGGCAGTATTGCTATCCCCATCTCACAGATGAGGAAATTGAGGCATTGTAATGGCACCATGGCTAGTGTCAGTTAGCATTAAGGACAGATAAACCTTTCTATAGTATCAGGAAAGTAAAGAATAAAGTGATTAAAATTTTTGGACTCTGCAGCTAATGGCCCAGATTCAAAATTTAGTCCTAGGACATACCTATGTGGCATTGGAATAAATTACTGCACCTCATTGCGTTCCCCTCTCCTCTTCTGTAGTGGTAGCTACTATTCTGAATCTGGCATTAATCATTCCAGTGATGTATTATACCTTTACTAATATACATGTAACCATAAACAATATATGATATTATTTTTGTGTGTGATGCCTTGCTAAATATTTCTGACAGCAACTTGCTTCTTTTTAAAAAAATAATATTTTCTTAATTTTTTACAGAGAGAAAGGGAGAAGAATAGAGTTAGAAACATCAATGAGAGAGAAACAGCGATCAGCTACCTACTGCACACTCCCTAATGGGTATGTGCCCACAACCAAGGTACATGCCCTTGAACAGAATTGAACCTGGGACCCTTGAGTCCTCAGGTCAATGCTCATCAACTGAGCCAAACTGGTTAGGGCAGCAACTTGATTCTTTCTCTTAACATTATTTGTGTGAGATTACAGTGGCCCCTCCGCTTCCCTTATCCCTGTGGGATATGTTCCAAGACCTCCAGTGGACACCTGAAACCTTGGATAGTACCAAACCATATATATGTAGTTTTCGTCCCCAAATGTACAGTATACCTTTTCAGTTAAAGGAAGTACTTCACCAAATCCCTTTGGCATATCAGAATCACCAGCAAAGCTACTGTTACACTTTGGGGCCATTATTAAGTAAAATAAGGGTAAACTGAACGGAGGCACAGAGATATTATGGTAGTGGATCTAGTAACCAAAATGATTACTAAGTGACTAACGAACTGGGGGCATATGAGCTGCGCAAAGAGATGACTCACTTTACGGATGGGATGGGGTAGGATGAAATCCCACTACTGAGAATGGCATGCAGTGTCAAACTATGAATTGTTTATTTCTGGAATTTTCCATTTAATATTTTCAGATCTCAGTTTGCCATGGGAAACTGAAACCTTGGAAAGTGAAACTATAGATAAGGGGGAATACTGTATTCTATGCTGATACATATAGATCAAGTTTAGCCATTTTTGTAGTTAAGTAGTATTCTGTTATTGCATAGAAATTTATTAATCCAGTGATTTTGAACCATTATGCTGTGGTAGACTGGTGTACTGCAAGGACTTTTAAAACCTGCAACACCTGACTATTTAGTCAGGGGCACTGACCTTTTTTCCCTTAGATTGTTGAATAAAAAAAAAAAAATGGCAACAGCCAGCACAACAATAACTGACTGGTGTGACTGAATCAGAATTATATATATTTATAATATAATAATTCTTTATTATTGAAAATATTAAACATGTTCTCCCCCCTCCCCCCTGAAAAGTATACCTATACATTTTTTTTTCAGGTTGGCACAAATATATAATTTTGGTGTGCTGCAGAATTGTAGTTATTAGTTTATGTGTGCCATGAGATGAAAAAGGTTGAAAATTGCACTGATCATCTATTCTCTTATTGAAGGACATTTGTGCTCTTTCAATTGTTGCTGTAATGTACAATGTTGATATGAACATCCTAGCATATGTCTCCCTGGGTGATTTTGCAACAGTTCCTTGTACACACCTGAATAGAATTGTTGACTCTCAATTCTAATTGTTGATTCTCAATTTAAAACCCAAATCAGATCAAACATTCAGATAAAAGAAACTAGAAAAAATTTGGGGATGGAAAACCATGTTAAACCAGATTACAGTAATGTAATCAGAAAAATCCAGAATGAGGAAAATCAAACTCTAAGAAAAAAGCCTCCTAATGCGCATGTCTTCAACTTCATTTAGGTTTTGCCAATGTACTGCTCAAAATATTTGTACCAACTTATACTCTCAGTAATAGTGTGTAGAGCTTACCTGAGCTTTGCACAGAAATTTGTGAGTGGACTCAAACAGAACTTGCATTTTTTACATTGAGGCATGTAGAGAGGAATTACTTTGTCACCTAGAAAGAAAGGCCATATGTTGGATGCCTATAAACGTTACTTGTAAATGTTACCTATAAATAATTTGTACCAGATGAATCAGTGGAAAACACCATTCCTTATGGTATATATTTTATGTTCAGCAGAGTGTAGATGGCAAAACAGTTTATTACTCTATTACATTGCTGACTTCCCCCTGTATTACCTATACTTTTTCATTTTTCCCTGCTGGGCACTCAAGTAACAAGTCTGTATTGATACCATCAGGTGAACAGTCTTACCTAAGACTCTGCTCCTTGTAGCTCTCTACATCATGACTATTATCTATTACATTTTATATGAGGAATAGGACATCCTCAAATAAAAGGAGAGGTGTACAGTGATAGGTTAGATATAGAGTCAATGGCACACAATCATTGTGTTTCACTATTTGTTTTACTCCAAATAAAGCAGAAAACTAATTTTATAAAGAATTCAAGTTCCATATTTTCTACATTTTATTCACTTTTAAATGGCGTCTATCCTTTGATAACCAAGGTCCAATAATAATTAACACTTAGTAGGTGCCAGATACCATTCTAACTGCTTACTTACTAGTATACTGTCCCATCTAATTCTCAGAACAACCCTTTGAGAAGGTAGTTTTATTGTCCACTTTGGAAAGATAAATCTGAGTCACTGAAAAGTGACTTAACTGGCTAAGGTCACAGAGCCAGCAGGTGGCAGAGTTGGGACTACATTGATCAGACCCGCTCAAGGATGCAAAACTATCAGGAGCAGCTGGTTTTTATGATCTTGTTTGGAATGGAAAGATCCATACCTCAAGGTTTGGAGCATCCTAATTAAAGGAAGGAAGTCTGACAAGTGAGGATTACAGAGCCCTTATTCCAGTATTTGGTGGAATATCTGTTATGAAATATGCAGTAAATAATTTCAGTCATTGGCATTTTCATTTTTATTTTTCAAACTTCCAGAAAGACTAACTTAGGCTAACATTGGCATATGTGTAATATTTCTCACTTAAGCTACCCATAGAATGAGCTACCTCATTCTTTAAATTCTTTATAATATTAAATTAGTTTTTTTGCTTTATTTAGGGGAGGTTGTAAGTTGTCATTTGTGTGTCCATGGAAGCGTCAGTTTAATCTAACTTTGTAGCTTAGCTTTATAGCACAGTTTCCTAGTGCCATATATAATAATAAAAATGTAATATCCTAATTAGATGAGAGGTCTTCTGAATGATCTTCCGGTTGCAGCCAGCTGGCAACAGAGGGAAACCCGGGTCCCAGGTGCCAGAGGGAAGCCGGTGCTGACAGCCGGGGGAAGGAAGGCCTACTCTTGCACAAATTTCATCCATCAGGCCTCTAGTATGTAAATGAAGTGACCATATCCCAAAATTTTACCAGACAATTCTGATTCAAGTATTCTGTCTCATTGTTAGACTGTGATAGATTGGGTTCTCACTTTTGCTTTGGAAAAGATGGTCCCTTATGTAAACATAGATCAATATAGCATGCAAAGCCAGGAATCTATCAGGAATTATCCCCGAAATATCCTGACATTCCCACTTACTGGATTGAGAAAATAAAATACCTGGTTTGCAGTTGGTCACTCCTGGCCCAACACTCTCCACAATACCTGCCCCCTCATGGCCAAGGATCACTGGGAAAAAAGCCTCCGTAAATTCAGGATGGAGAACATGGGCATCAGTATGGCACAAGGCAGTGGCGATCATCTACAAAGCAACCAGATACTTGAGTTGTTTCTGTAATTATATCATTGGGGTTGTTAAGTGGATAATTTTAGGCTAATTTTAATGTTACCAGGAGACTTTACACCACTCTTAGAGCTCAAAAAAGAAATAACACTTTGGGAAAAAATATCAAACAAAAATATATTAGGATAGCTTGCCCACTGTGGCTCAGCAGAGTGGCAATCTGTAAACCAAGAGATCAGGGTCAACTCCCAGTCAGGGCACATGCCCTGGGTGCAGGTTGGAGTTCCCCAATAGGGGGCGTGCAGGCGGCAGCGATCCATGATTCTCTCTCATCATTGAAGTTTCTCCCTCTCCCTTCCTCTCTCTGAAATCAATAATATATATTAGGATGTATTCATTTCCTTTATACCTTACTTTTCTGCCTTTTACTGTTATTAGAAAATCATAAAAAGAGATAAAATTGGCAGTTACTGTCTCCAGGAAAGGAGAAATCAAAGGCAATAGGAAAAATTTAAACAAAGCCTAATAGGT